GAATTAATTAAATATCTGAACCAATCAGAACTTGGGGAAACTATTAAATGCTGTAAGTTTACAGGGCTGCAGAAATGTATATCAAGCGCAACCCTTACATACTTTTTAAGCAGAGTAGTATAAGAAAAATTTCGAATTCCTATAAAATCAAGACTCAAATCTAATTTAAATAAGTCTTTCTGCACATCATGCTGCATTTACATTACATGTACATGTTATGATTAGATAAAATGTTACATGTATTTTGTGGTTTTAAAATGTCACAAAATTCAACGTATGTGTTTGTATCCCGTGGACACAGACAAGATGTTCTCCACCTTGACCACCACTAAAGTGCCTTGACGGCACAAATGCTTGCATAATTAAATATTATGTATTATACATCTACTATAATACATATATCCAAATATAGATCTATCAGACTAATAACGATTAACTTAAAAATACTGTCACAGATGTTCTGTTTCTGTCTCATGTTCTTGCCCCCATGACAATGCTGATATAATGTAATTATTTACAATAATGACAAATTCAATAGTCAAATTCTGAAAAGAATATGTATTTAATTTGTTTTAAAAGAAAATAAACACTGAAATAATATATTTTTTAATTAATAGGATTATGAATTTATTACGGGACAACAAAATTTTAAATTCACTTAGACTATATTAATAAATGCACAGAAATCTAAGAAGTTTCTTTCTTTGAATGCAGCATATCAAATTACGTTATGCTGCAAATTATTGAATGAATTACATAATGTAAATTTGCCTAAACTGATAATAAAATTTAAAATGCTCACAGATAAAATCGGCAAATGCATAAATTCCAAAACACTTTTATTGGATTGGATTACTAGTAAAGGATTTAATAATTGGTTTCCGACTGGTTTACAGGGCTCAAATTGTTGAAGATTCAGTTCACGCGTTGTAATACTGTATATCAATTAATAAGCTTGTTACCACCGCTTGCATTGCATAGATCTAAGAGAAAAATTTGTGCGTGCTACACTTTCAAACCTTTGGATGCTGAAAGGAAGGAAAATAAAAACAGAAGATGCAAAATTCCGCTAAACAGGGAATTTAATTAAATTTAATTTAAAAATTCACAAATAAAGTTCAAGTTACGCTGGCATCGACATTGAGATGGGGTGTCATATATATGTACTGTACATGTACGATTGGACAAAAATATTGCACGGTCGAAATTTAGATGATCGGATAAATTTTTTATATATAACTACTTATATAATTTTAATGCTATGTTTTTTATCAGTTACTTAAACGGGATGTTTGTTTATTATGGTCCATTGCAAAAAAGTTTGATGATTCAGATAAATATTAATAGATTATTTTTTCAAAAAAATTTTTTAATTCTGTCTCATTTAATTAAGTTATTAGGTATTGGGATTTATTTAAATATAAAAATTTTAATTATATATCTTTATAAAAAAAATTTTACTAATAATAAACTTTTTGAATTGTTATTTCTTAAATTTTACTAGATTAAAATTAATATAAAAATTATATAGTAAATAATTTAATTACTAAACTTTGAACCTTAATATCTTTATAATTACTGATCAATTTTTATGAAATTTATGATATATATATTGATCAAATCTAGAGCAACCTGCTTGCATAATTTGATGTTTTAATATGTAAATTGATAGTAATAATATTTAAAATGTCTTTTTTTTAAAAAAAAAATTTATTTTAGTTTTTTTAGTAAAGTAATACTTCATTTATTATTAAATTAAAGTATAATAGAATAATTAAAATAGTATAAAAAGTAAATTTAGATAATTTTTTATTTAATATAAAAAAATTATAAAGATTAGTTAAAATTTGAATGTTTTATTATAAGCAATTATTAATTTGTATCAATTTTTTGTAATGGCCCATATTTTGATTTAATGTGTTGCAATTCATAAAATCACATTTAAAAAACTCTATTTTCAATGAACCAGGTCAATCATGCATCCTCGATAGCCAAAAAAAGGCAAAGATTAAAGACTGTTGTTCTCGAGAATAAAGAATCGTGACAAAATAGTTTCTGCTAAACTTTTTCATCACAACCATTTATTGTCGAGAACAACAGTCTTTAATTTTGCCTTTTTTTGCCATCAAGGATGTATGATTGACCTGGTTCATTGAAAATAGAGTTTTTTAAATGTAATTGTTCATTAATTAATTGTAGTATACGACTTTTATTAGCATCCTATCGACTTTTTTGGCAACTTGTTTTGCTTGAAACTGACGTTTGTTTGAATGATTGATTTCCATCCTTTAGATCCTAAACTTTATTTAGATAGATAGCTTGATGCTTCGTGATAAAATTTGATTAGAGACTAATTTTGAATTATTACAAACAAAGCTACGTTATAATAATTTACATGGATATTCTAAAACCTTACCGGTTAACTAACAAGTAACGATTAGAAAAATAAAAAATGTAAAAATAATTCGTTTATTTTACACTGGTGAATGAATTGGTACATATTTGATTTTACAGGGTCAATGTTTGGCTGAAGCTTAATAATTAACGATTGTTATTGTTTATGCAGAGTTTTAACTGTAAACATATGTTAACAGTTTAACCGCCCGATATTATTCATTGATTCCGTAATAAAATTATTTACAATTATTATTTGCCTCAATATCAAGTTGCATTTTGTTTTGCGATTTGAAAATTTGACAATAATTTTTCCGCAAAATATCATATATACACTTGCATTAGATTCATTATTATCACATTAGTAGCATTGTATAGGTCAAATATAAAAAAAGCTCAGATTTATATAAATTATATAGCTCAGATGAGGTGTGTGTAATATCTTCGATAATAAAATTATATTTATAAGCTCCCTTATTTCAATACCAACCGTTTTCTTAAGGAGCCTCTTTTGAATTTATAAATTCAAATATAAAATTCAGAATTACAGTCGTAGTTATTTTTTACATACCATTCAAAAAAAGGGTTTAAAACCAGAATTTATTTTTTTATTACAGAATATTAAACGCGTTAGCATATAATTCAATTTTCGTTATGATACTTAAACTAGCACTATTGCATTTTTTTAATTTAATGGCTCAAAACGTTTTAGTCCATTTTGAAACAGTTAGCCATACCATGCATAAAATACATTTATTTATCTATTTATTATTTTTTTATGCTTTTTAATCTTGATATATTTATTGAATTAGCACATAATATTAATAAAGACTATAAAGCCTTTCCCTTGTTCCAATATTTGAGTCAAATTCGCTCCTATCTACATTTTGTTACTTAGCTTGACTTGATCTCCACTGTTTGCATTACGCTAGAGAAGTAAACATGTATGATCTCGTGTTATTACTTATGACTTTATATTTTAAAATTTTTCTCTTTCGAGAATATTATCGTGAAATTATTCAAATCTTGAGAAATTTTGATCTGTAGGCCCTATAACCACCTGTAATTATTGCAGGTGATTACAGTGGTTTCGCAGACACAGTAAAATCCCTATAATCGGTTATAAATTACAGGTACACTTTTGACATTTTTTAGATTTTTTTTCAGTAACCATGACTGAAAATCGAAAACTAGTATTAGAAAATAGTGACCTAACAAAACACTTTCAGTGTATGCAAAAACTTGTAATTTGTAATGGGATTGCAGGGTTTTACCACTGTAAATTTACAGGAGGATTTTTTCTTATAGGGCAATGCCCTACATATTCTCTTTATCTATATGCTACATGGTTAGATGATTGCTTTTATAAAATAAATTTCTATAATTTAAATAATCTTACATCAGTCGAATTAGATAAAAGTTTGGAATCGGAAAATAATTTGATATACATGTACTATCATTTCCGACCGAGTGTACAATCACTACTTAATATGGACATTTCGTTACATAAATATGTTGAACCAATTAATGGCTTTCCAATAAATATTTGTTACAATGAACCTGCCTAACTCGTGTTCATTGATAAAAATTTTTTTGATTCTAGAATTCCCAATACAATGTTTTCCCCATTTATGGTTGGAAAACAGGAAACGTTTTACGCAACGTTGTAACATATAATTTAAATAAAATAAGGAAATGTAACGTTATACGTTAATTTGTCTCGCAGACCAATTACATGGCGTGTCAATGTATAATTTAGGTGCAAATCTTATTAAAAACGCTATCGCTATCAATAAATCAACAACTGTAATGCACGTATACATGTATACGTACACGTATATTGTGTACATGTAAAACATAGAACTTGAAAAGGTAAATATTGATATTCAATTGGTGTGAAAAAATTTTAAAAGACCATATCATTGGCAGAATTTCCTCTTCGAAATTTTAAACATCTCTTAAAACGCGTGTTTTTCGTCGAGCGCATATATTCCGTTATATCAGAGAAAAATTCTATTAGAAATCTCGAGATTTGCCACTTTTTTAACTTTGACCAAAATATAAAAAATGGGAAATTCAGCATCAACACCAGCAAAAAGAATTGACACATCAACTGTATCATGTTATAACTTTCAAAGCACAAACGTTAGTGAAAGATACCAATATATTATGCAAATGAATGAAGAAAGAGGTGAAGAACAATATAAATTTGACACAAAAGGGATTCTTTTTTAACAAAGTAAAATTTTTTTTAGTTGATCGTTTTCAAATTCAACATCACCTTTATAGAGAAGTTTTAAAAAATAATTTTTCGGCGCCAATAGATGATGTCCTAAAACAGGGTGCTTCTGTGTTGGATCTTGGGTAAAATATTAAAAGAGTTTCGATTTTTATTTTTTGAACTGTAACTTATTGAATCGACTTAATTCAATAGATGCGGTCCAGGAATGTGGGTCTGCGAAATGGCAACAAATTATAGATTATCGTTGTTTCATGGAATAGACTATCACAACATTTTCCCCACCCAAAAACCTGTGAATGCACAATTCATAAAAGCGAATTTACTTGAAGGCCTGCCATTTAAAGATGCGTCTTTTGATTATGTGCATCTACGGTCGATGGTATTTTGTTTCACGCCTGATCAGTGGGAACATATAGTAATTAACGAGGCTATTCGATTATTACGACCGAATGCATATATTGAGGTTAGTTCATTGATTTAGGAAAAAATGAGGCTATTTGAACGAGCTGATCAAACAAACTATATATTTAATATTTAGCTTTCAGAATTCGATGTAAAAATACTTAATGGAGGTCCATGTGTTACGCGATTTTCAGATGCTCGTGAGTAATATGAAAGAAACTGATTTCATTCAACTTTAATTAAATAATAATATAATTAATGAAAAATAGTCAGAGAAAAACTCTTCGCAAACAAAATGGATCCATCAATCGCTCTCAAGTTATCAGACATCCTTCAACAATATAAATCACTAAAAAATGTTCGCCGTCAAGAAATAAGGGTTAATTTTGGAAGATCGGGGGGCAAATTAGGTAAATATCGTGATAACTTGAAAACTCTTGTCATGAACTGCTTACAATATCCCGACGCTTATTTACTATAATAAATTCAGGTGAAATCCAGGCAGAGTTAAGCATACGTTTACTACGCGAAGACGCAAAACTTTTTAGAGGGTTATTCAAAATGAACGCTCGAGAATATGATGAATTTGTAGAAAATTACATTCAAGAGCTTAATACGCATCCTGTTTATATGACATGGTATAAATTTTGGGCTCAAAAGAAAAATTGATTTTGATATTTTTTACTCTTAATTATTATCTAATAATATGTACATATACGAGTCATATGACTTCATTGATTCTTCTTTAGTGTTAGATGTAATTTGTATGGTAGTCACTCTGGATGTAGTGAACTCACTACGTAGTGAATACTAATTAAACTCAAGATATAGCGAAGTTGAGTTTCAGATTTATTTATAATAAAATTCTTTAGTGAATATTTGACAAATTTTTATTAATGGGCCGAAGCATTCATTATATCAAGTTCAAATTAGGGTCATTTCAAAATGTACGGGGTGTTACATGGACTAAGTAATCTATAATCAGATTTTTATCAGTGAAATTAAAATAATTAATCGAATGTCCTTTATATACTTAATTATAAAGAAAAGCACAGAATTCTAAACGATTTCACATAAATATCGCGCTTTATTTTTTTGATTGAAAATTGGTCGTCATGACTTTTTCCAAGTAACGATGTTTGATTTCTTGCAAAAATTTTAAGGCGAATGTCCAAAACCTACATATTAATAAAAAATATTGAAACACATTTTATTCTTCGACATTATAAAAATAACTGGTAAAATTTCTAGGTAATTCCACGCCTTGAAAATAAGTTGAACCATTTATTTTAATATAAATGTAATTGTGATTTGTATGTGTAACATAAAAAAATTTGTAATACATGTGTTACGTGTACGTATAAAATTATCCTTCGGTTTTTTAAACCACGATAAGTACATGTATTTGGTAAAGCCAAAGTAGAAATTAGGTTGCACATGTACATTGCTATCGTAATACATGTAATATTAATTTTCTTGTTTTTTACAATAAAGTTAATTTTACTAAACTAGTTAATTTACTAAACTGGCTAATCACTTTCTCCGTTCTCCCGTTCTATCCTTACCTGTATTGCTATCTTTGTTCTACCCTTCTATTATTTTATCATAATTTCTATCCATTATTTTATTCTATCCGTTTTTCAATCTTTCTTCTATCTTGAATAATGTCTTTGATTGCATGTAAACGACTCTACAATGCAACCACCAAGACTGTATATAATACAGTAGCGGTCAAAAGTATCTGAACATCTGTAGCTTTTTAGGTTGAAGATTAATTGTCTTGAAATTTGCAGCATAGATAATATAATATAAATCTAAATTAGTTTTTTATTATATTAATAATTTTTAAATTAAAATTTTTTAAAACTTAATATATTAAAATTTACGTATTATTATATTAGTAACAAAAAATTTTACATAATTTAATAAGACAGTTATTGAGAAATTAAAATTAAAATTATTATGACTATCTCATATTATAATTTCAGACCATGATGCCAAATTTACTAGTCATTTCTGGAAATCACTATTTGAATAAATTGGAACTAAATTGGCTATGTCAACTGCATTTCACCCACAAACTAATAGACAAACTGAGAGAATGAATCATACTTTAGAAGAAATATTAAGAATCTATTCTACTTATAATCAAGATCACTGGGATGAACATCTTGCTGCCGCTTATGTATATAAAAAAATAATTTAATACCAAAATTTAAAATCTAATTTTTCAACTAGCTTATTAAATTTTTTGTTATTAATATAAAAATACTTTAATATAAAAATTTTAATATAAAAAGTTATAAGTGATCAAATACTTTTGACTGCTACTATAAACATGCTCAAGAACCAATAAAGAGAGAATATTTTGCACACAATTAAAAATAATTTATAAACTATGTGATAGTTGTGGTTCTTTTAGTTTAGAAAAGGCACCATAATTGAATTAAAATTCTTTCTCATGACCCCTCGATTCCACGATATCTGTAGATATCGGTATAGGTATTTGAATCATTAGTCTCTCTCCCAACTATATTGCAGGCAAAAATAGTGAATCCAACATGTTATAAATCTATTACATGCACATCTCTTTAATTGATAACGATAAAGCTAGATTGTTACAATTGAACTTAGACTAATTCGTAAATTAAAAGCATATATCGATAGCAGTAAATTGCCAACATGTTATTAAAATTAAAAATAACGGAATTGCAATAATAAAGAAAATAGTTACGACAAACAAAATTATTCTTTTGCAGTTTTTTGATATTGTTTGCCAAGTAAATGTATATCAATATATGTTTATTTATTAAAATTTAATTCTCACACTAATAGAACACATAATTATCTTTGTTGATAACGTGGGGACAGATCCGTCATTTATTAATTTGTTGGATTTGATTATTTGTTTGATATTTAAAATTATGAATTGATTCAAGCATTTACTAATTTACCCTCAAGTTCTGATTGATTCAGAATATTAAAGATCAAATTTAAGTTCAGGGATTTAGGATTTACAGTGACTCATATTTAAATTATACACAAATAAAAATCAACGAGTTTCAAGTTTCTCGTCAATGAAAAATTGCTCACGGTCAGAAAATATTAAATTGCATTCATTAAAATGCCAGGTATCATTAGCGTCAGTTTTTATAATTATAAAAAATGATAAAATTTTTAATATTTTTTTGTATCGTAACTCCATAATTATGAAATTACAGTTACACCTCAAGTGCATCCCTCTTGGGACTATAGTAAAAAAAAATAAAAAGTGTGCATTTATAGAGATCAAAATATATAGAGCTTTTATAAGCTGGAATCAGAATATACTATGCATTTAGAGGAGTTATATAGTGTGCACTTAAAGAGGTCTAACTGTACTTGAATGAAATTTAGAAAATAAAATTTTTTTATATAATAACGATAATTTTTTCAATTAAAAAAAATTTATAAAAAATAATATATATATAGTAAATTTAAAAATAAAAAAAATAATAAAAATCTTAATACAGTATATCTCTTATAAATTTAAATTGAAATTCAAAAATTTTAAAAATTGATTTTTTCAAAAATTTGGCAAAAAATTTTAAAATTTTTTTGTAATAGATTATTATATAATAGAAAATATAATTAAAATTATTTTTATATAACATTTTGGTGAAATTTATTATATAATAAAATTTTTTAAAATTAATTATTTAACTTTAAAAATCAATTAAAAAATATAAATATTATTTAATAAATAGCTTTAAGTAAATTTTTTAATAGATATTAAATAAATTTATATAAAGATTTTATATTTTTTAAAAATTTTTTATTCAATTATTGTATATGTAAAACTTAAGTTTTTTATTCTTAATTATATAATAATTTTAAAAGATAATATTTAATAATTAATAATCAAACTTATATAAAAATAATGTCTTTTAATTTAGAAATGACAAATCAGATAATAATATTTTTATGGTTAGTTATTAAAATATATACTTTTATTTTATATCATAATATTATTTTTATATTATAATTATTATTTTAAATAATATTCAAAAAAATTATTTATTATATATTTTAAAATTACTTTTTGATATTATTTATAAAAGATTTTTTTTAATTATATTATATTATTTTAATTTTTTATCCTTTAAAAAGTTTATTTAAAATTATTTAATAAATATTAGTATTATTTTTTATAATTAATAATTTATATATATTTTAAATATTATTACTATAAAAATATTATAAATAATTTTAATAATATTTTTCTTTAATAAATTTTTTATTAAAAATTCTTAATAAAATAATTAATTTAAAAATAATATATAAAATAACTTATTAAAATATGATTTTTTTTATTATTTTTTAATTTAAATATTAAAAATATATATATAATATATGATTTTTTATTATTTTTTAAGTTTTTTATTTATTAAAATATAAATTAATTATTCAAAATTATTTTATTTTAGATTTATATATCCTATTATTTTATATATATATAGTAGTAATCAAAAGTAATAACTCAGGAACTAAATTTATTAATAAAATATAGTAAAAATTGAAATTTTCTCTTTATATTAAAATTTATAATTTTATTAAGAAATAATTTTTAGTTTTATATTAAAATAAAGATTAGTTTAACATATATTTTTTTCAGATTTTTTAGATTTTTTCTGAAAGAATTACTCTAATTATAAAGTTAATGAAAATAATTAATAAAAATTTTTACACTAACTTTATAATTAGAGTAACTCTTTCAGAAAAAATTTTAAAAATCTGAAAAAAATATATATATTATATGTAATCTTCTAGTTATGTAGTATAATATATATCCAAATTATTCACATAGAAAAGTCAGATATAATATTATATCAGAAAAATTCACACAGAAGATTCAAGATATAAACAATAATATTTGAAATAGAATTCACACAAAAAACTAAATCAAATACAGACAAGAGATTATGTTTAAAACTTATTCTTTATTTTAATGTTATGATACTTGTTATTGCTAAAATTACAGAACAGAAACAACATCTTTAAATAATAAAATAATGTTATATAAAATTAATAATAAGATAAATAAATTAATAATAGAAAATACTTATATGATAGTACCTCCAGAAGATGCTTATTAA